AAACTCCCTGATGGAAGGTCCACGATGACCCAACTTTTAAGGGAGAACAGAATCTCCCTGGTCCCTCTGCAGTCACAGGCCGTGTGTGCATGCAGGGTAGTAGGGTAGCGGGCTGGAGGGTGGTAGGAGGATGGGAGAGGAAGGTAGCTTAGCATTCAGCCTTCCTTCTGGAAAGAGGAGTCTCAAGACTTGGACACATGGAAAGGAATCCTACTGGAGGTGACACCAAATGAGGTCCTAAGAAACATGAAAATCCCTCTGTGCTGAAGTCATTTTATGGAAACATTTTGTATCTTGTTTTTGGACACCTTCAAAGTTTCCAGTTGAGTCAGTCTGGTGGCTAAAGATAGTATGCAATTATGGATTTGGCTAAAGGTAGTGTAAAAGGCTCTTGAAATTTCAAATCCTGCTTAATGTGGGAGTAAACATTATTAGACTTTGGAGTTTACTTTGCCTGTAAACTCGCTTTGTCCTCTGAATACATTATCCAAGATACAGAGGCCATTCAACTCCATTGCTCTGCCTTTAGGCAGCCATCCCCCAACTAGGCAGCATTCGCCTCATATGAATGAAAACATACCTGCACACTTCAAAAGCAAGTTCCTGACACCTTTGTTTTGTTGCTTAATTCACTTTGGGGCAAAACAGAATCATTTCAGAGAGTAGCATCAGGGTAACTTTAATTTCTAAAAAGACCACAAGTGATCAGTAAATATTCTGATACCAAGAAGGATATGATTAACAACTTAGAAGTAAGTTTTCTTGGTCAAAGAAATAGGTAAATGAAGTATATCTTGACTATTAGTCAGAGATAATAGAGAATACTTTCAAAACAAATGAAAGGCCCCAAATATGCAGGGTTATACAGATTTCTAGGCGACATCCACCCAGCAACATCTTTTCATCCCTCCCACCCTACCCCATCCCACCTCACCCCACCCCACCCGCAGCCATGTTCTTGAATGCCATAGTTAGTTGATCCTAGAGTTAGTGCTCCATCCAAGTTGAACCAGTCACAGCTCCTCGGGCGCCCTGACCACAAATGATTGGTCCAAGATAGACATCTTCTGACAATTAGACCAATGAGCCCCTTCCCTGAGCCATGTCAGCTGGGGCCAGCAGGACTACATCTTTTCAGTAATAGAAAGTTGTCATCAGCCATTGTCCCCTATGGACGAGGGAGAAGACGAAAGAATAAAGTCAGTACAAAAAGAGAAACTGGGACAGAATACAGAGTCCTCCAGATGCTGAACTCTCTGGGTCTGGTTAATTCTCTACCTTTTTAAAAAATTAATAAGTGTTCATTATGATCATTTTTCTACATCATTCTTAAAGTATCAGATCATTTCTTTATTTACTTTAGCTTTTCTATGCTCAATATCAGTATGAAAATTTTGTTTCCAAATTGTGTTTCTAATTTACTTTCTTTTCTTAAAAAATCATTTTATTGGGGCTTGTACAACTCTAATCACAATCCATACATCCATCCATTGTGTGTCAAGCATATTTGTACATTCGTTGCCCTCATCATTCTCAAAACATTTGCTTTATACTTGAGCCCTTGGTATCAGCTCCTCATTTTTTCTTCTGCCTTTCTGCTTCTCCCTCCCTCGTGAACCCTTGATAATTTATAAAATTATTATTATTTGGTCATGTCTTACACTGTCCAACATCTCCCTTCACCCACTTTTCTGTTTTCCATCCCCCAGGGAGGAGGTTATATGTAAATCCTTGTAATCAGTTCCCCCTTTCGACCCCACCTCCCCTCCACCCCCCCAGTCTCACTACTCTCACCACTGGTCCTGAAGAGATCATATGTCCTGGATTCCCTGTATTCCTATCTGTAAATGCTCTGGTCAATTCGGGTTTGTAAGGTAGAATTGGGATCATGATAGTTGGGGGGAGTTATAGGTTTCATCGTTGCTACACTGCACCCTAACTTGCTCGTCTCCTCCCCACAACCCTTTGGTAAGGGAATGTCCTGTTGCATACAGATGGGCTTTGGGTTCCCAATCTATACTCCCCTTCATTTGCAATGATATGATTTTTTGTTCTTTGATACCTGATACCTGATACCTTCAACACCTCGTGATCACACAGCTGGTGTACATCTTCCATGTGGGCTTTGTTGCTTCTGAGCTAGATGGCCGCTTGTTTGCCTTTAAGATCCCAGACACTATATCTTTTGATAGCCGGGCACCATCAGCTTTCTTCACCACATTTGCTTATGCACCCATTTGTCTTCAGCGGTTGTATCAGGAAGGTGAGCATCATGAATGCCAATTTAATAGAACAGAGCATTCTTGCATTGAGGGAGTACTTAAGTGGAGACCCAATGTCCATCTGCTATCTTAATACTAAACCTATAAATATATGCCCATAGATCAATTTCCCCATCCCTATATATAAATATATTTACATATGTACATGCCTGTATTTAGACCTCTATCAGT